AGACACGGGGGGTGAATGAAGAATATTAGCAACATTATTATTATTATAAGAGATAAAAAGTAATTTATGATATTAATAATTAATAATTAAAATAAACGTAGTAATAAGAGGAGGGGGCAAAGTTGGTATATAGATTTAGGGGTCTAAAGTGTGTGGTTAGAAAAACACGAGGAATAGAACGTAGAAGTGAGAAGAGAAGAACAGAGAGAAGAGAAGAGCATACAAGCTAGGGCGAGGAATCTCCATTAGAGGGCTTAGAATCATCAAACCTAAGGTAAGGGTGGGGTTGTGACTCTCTAATAGGTAGTTTAATTGTGGGTAGATGATGATATTGAATGTTAGGTTTTGGGGTAAATTATTGTGAAATTGATCGTTGTAGTTGCTCGTAAAGGATGAGATTGGTGTGTTAATTGTGTTGTAAATGTGGTGTATGATGTGTGTTAATGATTTAGAATGATTGTTGTGTTTGATCTTTCATGAAAAGTGGATTTTAGATGAAGAGGATGAGATTTCGTAGTAGAAAATTCAGGTTTTTGGGTCCGTGTGTGATGGGTTACCATATATGGGTAACTAGTTATTGGTGTTTGTGTTTTTGAACATTTGGCTACTGACTTGCAGTAACTGGGTAACCGGTTACCGCGAGGAAATTTGGAAAAGAACAAGGTTACTGTCTTGCGGAAATCGGTTACCATAACTGGGTAACCAGTTACTAATGTAATTGACGGAATTTTTTTGAAAACTTGAAAACTCCATAACTTTTGACTCGGGTGTCCGTTTAACGCGCTGTTTGGACCGTTGGAAAGCTAAAAATATTTTATAAAATTTTGTAATAATTTTTATGATAATATAATAATGTTTTATTGTAACAATTCTGATGTGTGCGTATGTTGTATGTGTTGTAATGCAAAATGTTGTGATTAATTGTGTCAGTGTTGTTTTGATGTTGTGTGAAGGAATTACATGTGATATTGCAGTATTACGAGGATGATGTTGGCCTGGAATTGGCATGATGTTGATCATTATGCTTGTGTTTGCATAATTTTGTTATAGCATGTTGCATTTCATGCATCGTTGAGGGCTTATGCTCTGGCCTGTATTGATAATCGTTGGGGGCTTATGCCCTGACCTTTATGGAAAATGTTGAGGGCTTATGCCCTGGCCTTGATGGAAAATGTTGAGGGCTTATGCCCTGGCCTATATGGCAATTTGTTGAGGGCTTATGCCCTGATGGGACCAAATGCATCTTGCATCTGAGTCAGTTGCACTGCATTTGTTGAATTGTTGAATTGTTGAATTATGGAATTGTGGACTTGTTGAATTGGGGTGACTAATGACTGTCAACTGTGCATGATATACCTGTTGTTTACTCATAATTATATTACTTATTATATTGTTATGATATCTCACCCTTACTGTTTGAATATTTCCTCTACATGGATAACATGCAGATAACCAGGAGTAGTGCGAAGTTGTGGAGTCTAAAAGAGGTTGCTCCTTTTATTTTGAGTGGGTGTCCTTGCTCTGATACGTAAAACCGGGGGGATGAACGCTCGATTGTTTTATTTTAGTTTATGTATTCTTTGAGGATTTTGGGAGTGTTGTAGACTCTCTTTTAATTGATTAAATTGTTGATTTTATGATGGTTGAAGATTTTAGAAAAATTATGAAATTCTTTTCGCTGCATTAATAAAATCGAAGTTTGAAGACTATGTTGAAATATTTCCCGTTCATCCGAAATGTGTGATATGTACTTGTTTTATCTTAATTGAGAAAAATTTGAATATGTTGAATGATGTGGCATCCTATTTCAGAGTTTTATTTTACTCTGATTTTTATAAAAATTACCGTTGGGGAAATAAGGTGTTATAGTCGGGGACAACAATCTTCTCATCTGTCACATGGTAGAGGTACCTCATCCCAGCTGTGTTCAGCTCCACACCAGGATTCAACACTCTGAGTTGCGCCACAACATTAATAAAATTCCCCTCAACATTAGCCAGACCATCGTCCACGGCCAGTTGGAGGCGAGCAACCAACTCTACTCAGGTCTTCAGAACTTTGGCCTCATCTGGTTCATCCTCGGCAGGAGCCATCTCTACCCTCATAGCTATGATCGTGTCCTTAAGGGTCTTCTTTTCCAACACAAAATTATGCTCCTCGGTCAACTTAGTCATGCTCTCCGATAAAACTTTATTGGAAGATTTCGCTTTGTTGAGTTTCTCCTCGAGAACCGCTACCTTAGCCTGGGACTTCTTCAACTCAACCTCTTAGGAAGAACCCTCCTCAGCATACACAACTTCCATCCATAGGATCCTCATCAGAGCCCCAACATCTCGGGCCAGCATCATTCGCTTGCTCGGATGATCCATCTCTTCGAGCACCAATGATTCAGCTTGGTGAACCTGTAGAGAGGAGCCCTCGAAGAAGGCCTTGTCATGAAAGCATGGGAGGAGTTTAAACTTTCCCTTTACCTATTCCCCTTTCAGTTCAACAACACCCTCGATACGTGGTCTCTTGAACCTCTAGGACACTTGTTGAGGAGAAGGATACCCGACAGTATGGCCAGTCGAAGACGTCCCCGAACTAGTATATGGAGCCATCCCCGCGTCGCCTTGAGAGCCTTTAACGAACTTTTGTCCCTTCTTTGCCTTGATGACATCCAATTTGACCATAAGCTCCTGGGAAGCATTCATTTTTCCTACAAAATAACAAGTCGAAGTCATCAAACAGGGATAAAGAAATGTGCATGCAAACCCAATCGAAATAGGAAACAAAACGAAAACCTAAATAATCTTTAGGGTCCTCGCATTCGAGGAGCTACTTAACATTTATGAGTCATGGTTCAAACACAGGCTTCCCATCCTCGTCCACAATAGGTTTTCCCCCTTTGCCCGCACGATGGATTGGGGGTATCCCTGTAACAAAGGCCTGCAAGCGATCGTGGCTAGCCTGGTCCTCAGGATTCAGCTGATCCTTCTTCCAGATATAATGGTCGGTCCTGTGAGAAATTTTTTTCCTCGACCAATGGAAACTAAACTTCGGCACTAGCTTCATCACCGAGTCCCCTCCCCCAATCCACGTCCACCTCCAACGTGGCCCAATAACTCTGGCATACTATCTCTGGTCCTCCGTTGGGCCCGCTTGGTCGATTGTTCCCCAAGCACAGCAAGGCTAGCAATGCCCATTTTGACCAAGTCCTAACAGTTACACATTTTTGCGGTCCCGAATATCCATGCCCAAAAATAGGGACCAATGGCCAAGCGTCGGGGGCACTATATAAATCCTTACACTTGTGAGGATCAAGTATCCAATATCCATTCTAAAAATTCTAATCTCTTTGCACTCTTTCTCACTAGATCGTCGGAGTGCCTTGCAGGTACACCCTATCCTCTCCTCTTATTTCCAACCAAACAGACGTCATCATCTCGACCCACACTCAAATTCTGATCAATCGATAAGATTATATATAGAGACTGGTATAAGAAATCTTCTTATACAAATATTTATATTTTTGGAAAAAAATATTTTTATTTTAACAATATATAGTTGTTTGTGAAGATTTTTTAAATATAATTTTTATAGTATTATATATATTCAATAAAGAAAAGATAAATTTAAAAAATAGTTAAAATAGATTTTCATTAAAATTTAATTTAAATAGTTTATCTTTTTACTATGTATTTTTTAGAAAATATTTAACTTAAAAAAAAATTAAAGTTATTTTAAATAGATTTTATTAAAATCATTACTGAGATTGGTAGTATTCTATTTTTTTTAATATAAGCTTTTTTATTTATTTAATAGAGATATAATAATAGAATAAAAAAGTTTTACAATATTATTTAATAAAAATATATTATTTTATTTTATTATATTATAATTAAAATTTTTAATTTAATTTAATAAATAATATAATCGTTATTGATTGATAATATAAAATTAATTTATACGGTTAATATATTATTATTTTCGCTTCCATAAAATACTAAAAATTAATATCTACTTTAATAATTAGATTCTTACGATGTCTCATTAGATCTTGTTCACCACCCACATAATACTACTACCATTTTTCAAATCTTAGTTATTTAGTTGAATAATCATCATATAGTGTCTTTATAGGTAGTTGTTAGTTTTCTTAAGGTTGAGATCCCCTTTAAATAAATTATCAAAGTTAAACTTGATTATATACATTTTAAACGGATGTTGTATTTAATACCAATAACAAAAAAAAAGGTTTAATTATTAAAATTAAAATCTAGAAGCATATCCGCTATTATGTTGGACCCTCCAATTAGAATACAAAGTCTTGTTGGGCTTCAAAAAGAAGAAGACCCCTACCTAACAATGATTCGAATTCTCACACGTTGCAAAACATAGTATAGTTGTTTCTTAAAACAACCTTCCACTTGGCACAAGAAACAGATTATGAGGTATATTTGTCAACAACAATAAATTGCGCTAATATCTCATCTAAATGATACGATTAAACCCAAAGCAAAACAAAATAATTCGATAATTCACCGCTCCTAAAACAAAAAGTAAATTGAAATAAAAAAAACATATTTTAAATTTAAATAACAAATTAAAAATATTAAGATTAAACTAGTATTTATTTATTTACATCCGAACCCTAAGCTGGCAAGCCCATATATATATAAACGAGTCTTTGCTTCACAATACATCTCACAAATCAAACCAACCTTTTTCTATCACCAAACTCGTTCGTTCTCTCGTTGTGAATGGTAGAAACCCTAAGCGATATTGATTTCATGCGCTCTCGTTTCCCATTCAGGGCGAGCGCTATTCTCCTTCCAGTTTCTGCTTCTTCTGCTTTCGCTTTCGGTTCTTGCAAACAAGGTTGGTACTACCGCTGCCTTGGCGTCGACCCCTGAGAAACCACACCTTTCCCCAAACCAGAAACACGAATTTGTTTTCTCTTTCTGTTTTATTGCGATTTCTTCGGATCGGTGAATTGAATTTTGTTGTTGATTGAAAAGATGTTGATGAGTAAGCATAAGAAAAACCAGAACGCCAATGCTAAGAGGCTTCTGATCAGTATCAATGTGTTTGGAAGCGCTGGACCGATCCGCTTTGTTGTAAGGGAAGATGAACTCGTTGCCGCGGTTATTGATACCGCTCTCAAGTCCTATGCTCGCGAAGGCAGACTTCCCGTTCTCGGCGGAGATATCAGAACTTTCGCTCTTTATTGTCCTCTTGTTGGATCTGATGGTAACTTCTATTTTTCATAATTTCTGTTAATTTTAATTTTATTCTGGTTTGGCTAGAATGATGTGCTCTTTTAGGTAAAGGTTCTGAATTCTGATATGTTTGATGTTTTTTTTGCAGCACTGAGTCCTTGGCACACAATTGGATCAGTTGGAGCTAGAAATTTCATGCTATGCAAGAAGCCACAAGCAACCACTGGAGATGAAGCTGGCAATGGGACTGAAGTGGTTTCTCGCAGCAAAGCTGGAAGTTGGAAGGCTTGGTTCAACAAGTCTCTGAATTTGAAGATTTCTACCCATTGATGAATCAAGTTTTAAATTGTGTGCCAGCATTGAATAAGTTATGATGTATTTTCAGTTTCAGTTTCGGTTTCTGTTCTATTCTAGCTATAGCAGAGAACTTTTGTTTTTAGGAAATTACTCTTTTAGAGTTGTAGATTTCAGCTTTGATCAATAAAAAAAGTCAAATTTTGGTTTCAGTTTTGTAGCATCTTTTAATTTTTGTATTGATAAATTTAATGTCTTTCACATATAATTTCTTTATTCCGAATGTTTACTTAAAATTCTCTAGTATAAGACTTTGAAATATAAATATAAATTCTTTATTTTGAAAATGAAAGTTTCCTCTTAATAATGTGTCAAATATTCGGAGGATATACTTGGCACACTTTTATTGAAACGAGAGCCCGATCTAATAGTGTGTTGTACGGTCTTAAATTACGGCCTTAAATTAATGAGAAAAGTCCTCAAATAAGTCCATATACAACAGCTTGACAAATTATATCTAATGTTTTTTATTTTTTCAAAATATATTTTATTTATGAAATTTTGAATATTGATTTTCATGACAAATTATATCTAGATATTTTTATTTTTAAGAATATAACTAATTTATGAAATTTTGAATATTAAAATTATAATAAAATAAAATTTAAAAATATTTTTAAGAACCTTAATAATTTATCTAACAAATTGATGAAAATACAATTTTTGAGAGTGTAATTTTAATAGAAAAAATTTAAGTACAATTCTTTAAATGTAATTCTTATTATTTTTTAAAAATAATATTTTTTAAAAATAATAATTTTTAAAAATAATAATTTTTAAAAGTATAATTTTAATGGAAAAAAATTTAAGTACTATCTGATTCTTATTACTTTTTAATGAAAATTTAACAAATATATTTAAATAAATATGAGCAATTTACATAACTGTAAAAGAAAATTATATATTTGTTATTTTTTTTAAGAAAATAGTAAAAACTAGTTTTGTTCAATTAGAAAGGTTAGTTGTTTGACTATTCTCTATTTTTTTTATGAGAACTATTATTTATTTTACCCACTCTTTTTACTATAGAATTCAGAAGTTTACCTTTTACTTAATTGATTAGTTAAAATTCTTTTTATTATTTTTTCTATTATGGATGTTAACATACACCTTCTCTAATATCATTATTTCTAATCTATTTTGTTTAGTCTTATTATAAATCTAATATAATATCATAGTCTTCGACATATTTATGATATATTTATTTTATTTTCGTGTTGGTTCTTTACTATCCAATATATTTTGTTTTATATAGCATCATTGATCTTAGTTATCTTATAGAAATTTCTTTAATTTAAACGGTAGTTTCGTGTCACATAAGACATTGTCTCTCCTCCATTTCAACCATCAACTTGAGTTAGATGATTTCGCCTCATTCTATTTCTCCATATATGTAACATGTGGTTGATATGATCTACATTTTTCAATCTAGGTTATAAACACTTTTTTTTGCTAAACGTGTCTTACTTATGCTTAGGCGAAATTCATATGCTTATAATGCTCTTCTCTAAGTATCCAACTTATTATTTAAATCTTCTCTCAACTCTTCAAGTAGAACTATATCATCTACAAAAAATACACATATTGGTGCTAACTCTTGAATGTGTTTCATAAGTACATCAAAAACCGAAGTAAAACAGATAAGAGTTTTATAGATCAAAATTTAAGTGTTTCTTCTCAATTTATCTGACATTTGTTTTGACCTCAATATTTCGTTAAAAAATTTAGTGAGTCACTCAATATCACTACCTCCAATACTTTTCCACACTTCAATATATATGTTTCTGACTCAATCACATTGCTATTGCTCATCCTCTTTAGTGTTTCTTTTACCTAGTGTTTTTGAATCCTCCGATGATAATTATAATTTTAATCCTCTTATTCCATGTCTAAAATGTTAGAGTGTGGTAAGATCTCATATCATTCATTAAATAAATTATAGAAGTACTTCTTCCATCTATTTCCTAAACCGAAACTTTGTCTTCTTCATCTTTAACACACTTCACTTGATCTAAACCTCTTGTCTTTCTTTTTCTTTTTCTTAGAAAGCATGCCTATATATTTGTTTCACTCCGTAGTTTCTAAGGATTCATATTGTCTGTCAAAAGCTTGATATCTTGTTTCTCTCACTGTATTCTTGGTCTCTTTCTTATCTTTTTAAATTGTTTTCAAAGTTTCAATATTTTTACACCTAAACTAATCTTTAAATTATTCATTTTTACTCTAACTTTACTCCGAACACTATCATTTCACCACCATGATTTTTTATCCCTAGTTCCAAGCCCTCTTGATTCTTCCAACGTCTTGATATTTTCTAATCTCTTGTGTAATTTTGTCTCATATATCATTTTCACTTCCTTGTGGATGCTCGAAACCTCCCTCGAAGTTCTTTTTGTAAGAACAAGATTTGGTTCTGCAATATTGTCTCAGAGTTTTAATGATAACAAATGAGTATGTTTGTATGAACATTTTTGACACTCTAATGTTTGTTATTGTTGAGTAATTAACAAACATGTTCTGCTTCTGATGAATGGCGGGGCCAAGACATTAGAAGATAATAAGTTTCGCTTCTACGCTACACAAGTTTTGTTGAACAGTTGCAAGACACTCTGAAGTGTAGGCTCTGATGTTTGTCCAAAGAAAAATCAGAAGATATGAAGATAGAAGTTGCTACCTAAGTCCAGATGCTGAAGAATCATGTTTCTGAAGACAACTCTAAAGAAACCACTCAGAAGATCTGAAGATAGAAGTTTCTACTTACGTCCAGATGCTAAAGACTCAAGCTTATAAAGATAACATATTATAAGAAAACAACCAGAAGATATGAAGACTCAAGTTTCTACTAAAGTCCAAATGCCAAATATTTAAGTTTCTAAAGACAATGTGTTCCAAAGAAACAAAGTTAGAAGATCTGAAGAGAAAGTTTCTACTAAAGTCCAGATGTTAAAAACTTAGTTTCGAAAAGACAACTTGTTTTGAGAAGACAAAGTTAAAAGATCTGAATACAAAGTTTCTACTGAAGTCCAGATGCTGAAGACTCGTGTTTTTAATAACAAGGTTCTTAAAAGGATTCTTAAAGACTAAGTTCTAAAGATTCTAAAGATGAAAGTTCTGAAGATTCTAAAGACTTGAAGTTATAAAGATCCAAGGTTCTATATAGTGATTTCTCAAGACCAAGTGCTGAAGACTCTAAAGATGCAGTTCTTAGAGACTCTAAAGACTTGAAGTTCTTTTAGGCTAAGGTGATTACAAGGTTTTCAAAACCAAGTGCTAAAGTTCTGAATATGATGATCTACAGACTCCGAATACTTGAAGTTTTGAAAAGCCCAAGCGTTATTCTCCTTCTCGGACTCATGCCTTCTTCGGACTCATACCCACTACTTGCAAGGACCGAGGCTGACTCACAATACTATCTTGTTTCCCACTCAATTCAAGCTATCATCAATGTGATAATTCCAAGATTACCCTCCAACTGTTATATTTATATTGGGTATATATATAGCTTGAAGACTAAAGAGAAGAAGTGGGTGTTAATGGCGTAAAAGCATCAATCATCAAGAAGAAATAAAAATGTCAAAAGTTTTCTTTTAATTCTTAATTCTTATGTCATGCACGCTTAAATTCTATTTACATCCAGCTTGTGTAGAAGCATTATTACTGTAAACAAATGTAATCAAACAATTGTTTGATGATACCTTGAGAGACTGAGTGAAGGCATGTTCTCAAGAAGATAGTGACTGAAGGTCATTCTGAAATCCTGGTAGTGATTTCTATTGGGTCAATGGTAGTCACATTTCAAAGGGGACTGAATGAAGGCCAGCCTTATGAGATCAGTGATGGATATCATTGTAAGGAAGTTCTGATATGAGATCTTGAGAGATTAGATTCTATTGGATCAATGGACGTTATATCTCGTTGGATCAATAAACAAGTCATTGGTTGTTAGTCACTCGCGTGTAGCTTGTGCATTTTAGTCAGTTTAGTTACAGTGGATTAAGTCCTTGATTAAGGCGAAATCACGTTGGCGGGTGAACTGGGTTAGCTTGGAGATTTATAAAGTGAAGCAGGATATATTGTGTGTTCTTTACTCTTGCTTATTCTTTATAGTTTATGTTTTCATCACTTAATTTGAAGCATTACTTATAAGTAATATTCAGAAGCATTGTTCAATAAATAATGCTTAGAAGTGAAAGTTAATCAAAGAGTGAAAAACTCAATTCAAACTCCCTTTATCGTGTTTTCTTCACACCTTCACTTTTGTTTCACCCTTCAAATGTCATCACTTGATTCATGGAGCCCTTTATGGCTTCTTCTCATTGTAATCCTCTTGAATCTTACATCTATAATAAATACTCAATGTTTTACAGGCAAACTCTCTTCTAATATAACTTTTTCAGTCTAAGCAAATCGTCCTATTTATTTCCTAATAAGAAATAAATCTATTTGAGAATATGTAACCCTACTATTTAATGCGATAACATGTTTGTCTATTTGTTTAAAGCATATATCTCCTATAGTAAGATGAAAATTCGATGAAAAATATAGGATGAATTTATCTATATTTACTCCTATTAGATGATACCCTCATGCATACCCTAAAAACCTCTCAATACGCCCCTGACACACTACTACAAAAAGTATATATCACCTCAGTTGGGAAAAGGATTCACTATATTTGGTTGTCCGTAGTAATGAAGTGTGTCATAAAAAGTGCATTACTTTTTCCCTCGAGCTAATGGTCGAGGTGAAAAAATGGATAGCGCGCCAATTTTCCCCACAATTGAAATAATGAACGAGGTGAAGAGTTGTTTGGTCATGGGTTCGAATCTCAACAACAATATTTTGGAATTAATGTCACATTGTACTAACATTTCCCCCACAGTTGGAATACTAACCGAGATGAAAAACTCAACTTTCCATCATGTTTGTGCCTTTAATCCGAGGGGATAGGTTGAGGGGGATCATTTTTCCCTACA